GAAAAAAGAAGAGAACTGGTGCAGCAGTTTAAATCTGGAACCTTAACAATTCAGCAGTTGACTGAGATCCTGCTGACCATCATAGTAGAGAAGACGACAAAAACCACAAAAACAACAACAACCATTGCAGAAACAACAGTCACCACAAGCTTCCACGGCATCAGGAAGGACGTGACTGCTGATGAAATGTTAATATCCAAAATCATTGATCAGGAACTCTACCAAAAACTGAGAGAAGGAAAAGTCACTGTGGATGAGGTCAGCAAGATTGGCTCGGTGCAGAAATACTTACAAGGCTCAAACAGCATTGCAGGGGTATTCATCCAATCCTCAAAAGAGAAGATGAGCATCTACCAAGCAAGGTCAAAGGGGATCCTGACTCCCGGTACAGCTCTGGTCCTGCTGGAGGCCCAGGCTGCCACTGGATTTGTCATCGACCCGGTGAAGAACAAGAAGATGTCTGTAGAACAGGCAGTGGCTGAAGGGCTGGTGGGAGCAGAACTGAAAACTAAACTTCTCTCCGCTGAAAAGGCAGTCACCGGCTACACTGACCCCTACACAGGGGACACCATCTCGTTGTTCCAGGCCCTGAAGAAAGACCTGATTGTGAAGGATCACGGCATTCGCCTGCTGGAAGCCCAGATTGCCACCGGGGGCATCATCGATCCAGTAAATAGCCACCGTCTGCCCGTGGAGGTGGCTTACCAGCGAGGATACTTTGACGAGGAGATGAATCGCATCCTCTCAGATCCTGACGACGACACCAAAGGGTTTTTTGACCCAAACACCAAAGAGAACCTCACCTACCTACAGCTGGTGGAGAGAAGTGTAAAGGACTCCGAAACTGGGCTCTGCCTCCTTCGTTTGAACAAATAAGTTTAAAAGGATCATTTGTAATCTTGCATGCATAAAAAGTTCATACAATGCCCAGTTTTTCATCAACTTCCTGGATTTCAGTTTTCATTTTGCTTTGGGGGTTAAATTTGTTTGGTTTCTATGAAAGGCATTATTTGAACAGCTACCAAATAGATAATACATTATGAACCCTTACATTATCATTTTAACACTAGAGCATCCGTGATATGTACCTTTTTGGAAACAGTCATCTGAACGTAACATTACAAATGCAACACATCTGTGTAAATATATTAAGAAAAAAATCCTTGTTAAATCTTACATGGATGTCTTCACTTGGAATCCTATTCACTTCTACAAAGCAATGTTAATCACTCTAGTTTTCCTTCTACTAAGATTACTCTTATTTCTTAATGTAGATGTAAAATATGTATAGGACTTGAGCTGTCGCCAGCTTCATGTTTTTGCTGGCTTGACAGTACATCTGTTTCAGTTCAATAAATTGAGAAGAATAAAATAAAACACAATATTAATCAACCTGACATTTATTTTTGTAATTTGTTTCATTGATTGTGTTTTAAAAAACAGAGTTTTGGTAAGTTTCTGTATTTACAAATGGAAGATTTGGCCAGTTAACAAGCTATGTAAAAGGATGTAAACAATTCCCAAATATGGGGAAAATGCAAAATGCAATTTCAGATGTGTTCATGTAATTACACAAACAACTTCAATAAGAAATATTTCTGAAAATCCTACAACAGGTTAAGGATCTTAGAATATACAGAACTAAAATACAAAAGAGAATCAACAATGGTGACCAATACATACAAACACAAACTGCAAGAGAAGAACCACTGAACTGAGAAGTGTTATCTTTTTACAATATTTCACTACAATCATATTTTTTAATCAATAAATTTGAAAAACACTTCACTACCTAATATGGTGACCTTATATGATGGCTTAATAAGTAAAATGGGCTGAACATGTTTATTACCATAAGCTTAATTCCCTCAAAATAAAATGCATGTCCATTATTATATGGGAAGGAGTCATTTAGGGCCACTGTATTAAATACATTATTGAAAAAGCGACCTACTGGACCCTGGTGTGATGACATCCACTCACTCTCATCAATTTAAGCTGTGTTATATCAACTTTAACAGTGGCTATTATAGGGTCTCTGCAAAAACTTCTAGATAGCAAGTCAGAAACAGCATGGGACATTCCCCAGCCTGCACTAGAAACCAGCTATTCATCCATTAAGTTGATTCTCTGCATGTTTCACCAAAACTGTTATGGTATCCAAAGACTAAGACAAAGTTAGTAAAAACACAGGGAGTTTGAAATGCAGGACATACAGTAGAACTTGCAGGTGATGCTCTGAAGTGGACAGCAAATACTTTTTTAAGGTCTGGCAAAATGAAGTATCTTTTTCGCAAACAGTCTTCCAGGAGAATGTAGTACGTAGTAAGCCTCTGGAATGTCATCCCTTTTAGACAGGCATTCAGATTATGTGGTCTCCAGCAGGCTTGTTTGACTGCCCTATAGTTACTCCAATATAACCCCAGGCTTTTCCATAACTGCAGGTCTTCTTTAGTGTAGTCCTGTTACTCAAGTCCAGCTTGCCACCAGCGTCCAAGAGGTGGATGCCACATACAGAGATCACAAAGCAGGGAAGCTGGGGGCATCAAGAGCCACTGATATTTAAACTCAGAGTAGCTTGTTTTGCTTGGATTTTACTGTCAGTGTCTTCAGATCTTGCCAGGTGGTAGCATGTTTAAGTGGCACTTTAAGGGTCTGAAAATTCAGAGCACCCAACCATTTCCCTAAACATATTACAGCAGACAGTTCAACCTCACTGCACCATTAGAATCTTGGTGCTTCCCTTTATGCTTTTTTTGCATTTTACTAAAGGTTGTCCAGCAGCTGGTGGATGTCTGCCTGGCTGCGATAAACTTTCTTCAGACCTCGGGGAAGGTAACGGCATGATGACAGATTCAAATAGGAGAGCTCAGAGCACTGGAGTAGAACGGGTCTAAAATATGTAAACAGAGACCAGATTAGCAGCTTTTCAAAGGATACATCAGTAAGTAGAATATTAAACTCATATTTTCAAATAAGTAACAAACATATACCCTTAGAGTGAATAAACTCAGTGTTGCTTTGAATGTGAGACTATTCTTTATAATCATGTCTTGAAAGAATAATGTAGCAAAATAGACAGCATTTCAGCCCATCATTTCTTACACTTGTCAAACTACAATTTAGTGGATGGTTATTAAAATCCCCAAAACAGAGCTAATGATAGAAACAAAGGGTACTGAAGATATTAATGCAGATAACTCAGCAGACGACTAAAAGACACAAAAACAAAGTTTACGAATTATGCCGATAGGCGGTAAATGCTCTAAGCATAAAAGAGCACTTCCTTGCATGATCTGTCCATTATATACTTCAGGAGTGAAACCATTTTAAAAAAGAAGCATGGCCTGAAATGCTGGACATCTTAGATATATTTTGCTCCGAAGGTAAAAATGCTTGTGAGGTTTTTTTTGCTGATGCAGTCTAACTCAATGTTAGACTCAGGAAAAAAGTAAATTTACATAGAGTATTTGAATACAGGAAATAAAAATAGACCGTCAGCAATGAATATCATAAGGGTGTATTTGTCCATAATAACTGTATATCTTTCTAAAGTGATGTCAATTATTCTCCCATGAAAATCACATTCATGCAGAGAAATTACTTGGTAGTAAGTTTGTACACAGATGCCAGTTTCTCCTGTTCCCCAGCAACACCATTACATCTGATTTAACTTCTAGAACCACCCTATAGACCACATGCTGCATAAGACATTATTGCCTCCTCTTCCTGGTAAAGCAGCAGCTGTTCCTCTAGCCTTGAATGTCTTATTGATGGATGCTAAGAAGCTGGACATCCCAGATTTTATCATACACTGTTCCCATGATGGTTAATGACAATGACTGGAAAGATTCTTTGTACACCCTCAACATGAGAAAATGCTCTTTACCTGAGTGCACTTGCACTGATCTTGGTTCCACAGAGATTTAAGGACTTGAGTACACCACATCCCTCACCAAATGCCAGGTTTGCCATAGCAATCTCCAGGTCTTCACTGGAAAATGGCTGGCCAGCGAGGTCCAGCTCCCTCAGAGTGCAGTTCCACTTTTTGGTAAGGAGATGAATCCCTTTCTTGGATGCTGTCATGCAGTCATTGCTGTAATACAGTCCCCAGTACAGACACTCCAGGTCTGCAGGCAAGACGGAAGAGATGTATATAGTCATAATGATGTGGAGTAACAATGTTTAAATGTCATTATGATCAATCACCTTGTGACAAGAAGTTTCTAATTCTTTCACATAGCCCATTTATTAAAACATCACAACATTTCTATTGCTTACTTTTGTTTTTAGGTTGTTTACACAGCCTTCATTATAAGGACGTCTGTGCTATATGACATTCTCAAAGAGGAGATTCGATTTTTTTTGCAAAACATTCCTGACGCATACATAGTCAATTAGAGATCTCTGTGGAACTCCGTTGAACATTTTAACCTTTCAATAAATCTTAATCTTAAGCCTCTTCTCTTCAGGGCAGCTACCTCTGCAGGGCAGTGTGGACAGGCCAGTAGGGGTGATTCGGCAGCAGCCTCTTATGTCCAGGACTCGCAGACGAAGGGAACTATGCAGCAGTGTCCTTAAGTCTTCATCTTTCACAAAGGAAACAGAAGAAGTCGCCAAACAGAGCTCCTCCAGCTGGGGAAAGCCAGATGTGCAAGAAGCCCCTCTGCGGGCCATTTTGGGCAATAATGTGACATTCAGCATACGGAACACCTAGCCAAAGACAACAGTAATAAAACATTAGAGAGTATTCTATAACTCTATAGAAAACACCAAAAAAGGATGTATGACAAAAAAAACCAACATTTGATATATTTCAAGATTAAACATTAATGCCCATTTTGACAAGTCCTGATCCAACTTGAAACATGTTTTAAGTAGTACTGCTACTGTGAATATTTTGTTCACGGAAAATTACCTGTAGTTTAGGGCACCCGTTTTGTAGTGCTTGAATGCAAACTGGAAGCTGACAGAATCCACTGTCCAGCTTAGTATTTATCTCCAGCAGCTTCAGCTCAGGACAGCAACCTTTCTAAACAAATCACACAACAGAGAGTCATCAATACACTGTGGGCCACATTCCACATATGTTCAGAAGGTTTCAATCTTGGAAACTTTTAGAACTCAACAGTTTATCGTGACGAAACCTGCTGTATCAACATAAGAAGCCTTGACACAGAGTGCATAAACACAGCAAGCAGAAATAAAATTCAGTAGCATGTGGTATCCTGTCCTTGTGTAGCAGGCAGGGTCTGATGTATGAGACAGATGTCTGGCAAGAAATATAGATTCTCTAAATGGAATTCCACTTTGAAGAGGTGATCGATTTAATGTGACAGAATATTCAAGTTTTTCACTCTAGTAACTGAAATTAAATAAGGCACCTCAGAGAAGCAACATTCAGATTTATCAAATGTTGCTGTTACAGGATACTAGAACTAAACACCATTTGCTTAATTCAGCATGTGTGTGGGTCACCAGGACCAGGAATTGGAACCACTGTATTAGACCAAGTAAACTATAAATATTAAAATGTCAGACTTTCTTAATTCTTCCTTACAAATCTGAATGAAAAGGAAGAAAATAAATAACACTCCCACTTATTAAAAAATATTTTTCCAAAAATGGGAGTGCTGCATCAGTGACCCTTTGTTTCACACAACGTAGGCAAAGACCAAACCTACACTTCCAGGTCTATTGCTCTCATGCCTTCTAGCCTTCTCAGGCACACCCTCTGAAAAGACCACACTAGTTCAGTTCAGTATTGGCAACCTAACTACTACAGCAAACACAGTGGGATAGAAATGATGCCCTCCAGAATTATTCATATCGCTCATTAAGTAAATTTAGTTTAAGTAAATTATATTGTAGACATGTGGCAAAAGGTTTTGTAGTCAGTTTTCTTAATTTAAATGCCGTCAGTGTGAAGCTTTACATCTGGCAAAAGCCCAAAACAGAACAGCAAACAGTCAACACCTTCCCAAGTGTCAACCATGGCACTAGCAGCCTTATGATTCTGGGATGCTTTGAATCCTAAAGGAAAACATGGTAGCCATAAACTAGTATTGGTCAAAAACACACATTTCAGTAATCCCAGATTCCATCCGACAAAAAAAATTAGGAAATTGTCTCAAGAAATGTAAGAACTGGAGCAATTTTGCCAAGAGTGGGTAAACACATCCTCATGCTACTGTGCAAAGGAGCTAGTGACATATCCAAAAAAACTCACAGCAGTGAAGTGCAATCAACAGTATCTCTAACAACTACCTACTTAGGGGGCTGAGCTCACACTATCAGTAAATTTTAATGTGCACATTCTCTATGCAGGCTTTCCTGACTCTAATTTACTTTTACATTTAATAGCAATCAATTTAATCTGACTAATTCTTATAACTTACTGAAATAGCAGATAGTGTTTTGTCGCTTTTCAACCCATATGTGACCTGAAGGGTTTTAATTCGACTGCCATATGTTTCCAGGAAATTGACAAAGCCTTCCATTTGAACCTGGATAAAACAAAAGAAATTAAATCAAAGATTTACACTGATCTTCATTTTTGGCTTTTACTTACAGCAACATACCTCCCTTCAAAAGGAAATTAGGATCTTCAGCATCTTCACTGGATCCCAGATTAGCGAAACGTATTCAGTGTACTCTGGGTATTTTTTTTTTACATTACTAAAAATAATTATTGTACAAATTTCAATAGCCATTATCACACACCAATAAATATCCGCATTTGTTTAACAGGATTTTATCAAGTCAGCTCTTTTCATAAAAAGCATAAACAGTAACCCAGTCTCTTAAAAAAGTTAACTCTTATGGAAACATTAATAATAATGAATAAACTTTATGTTCATATAGCACCTTTAAAAGTAGTTTCTAAAAGTGTTTCACAGAACAATAACAAAGAGAAAGAAACGCATTCAGATGAGACTAGCAGATGGGGAAGGAATACAGTAGGAAAACTTAGGGGCACACAGAACCAGTTAAATAAAATCCCTTCTAAAAAATAAGTTATGAGTCTAGTTTTGAAAGACTCACGGAAGTTGACTGACTCTTTGTTATCTTTAGGGTTAGAGTTCTAGAGCTTTGGGGCAAGCCTAGGCCGTTTCACCCATAGAGTGAAGACGGGCTTGGGGGACATAGAGGATACCAGAATTAGACAACTGAAGGCTTGACACGAAAATCGACACGAAACCCGACAGGAAGTTAGTGCAAGGACTCCAGGATAGGAGTAACTTGATCACTTGCACTTAACCTGGTCAGGATTCTGGCTGCTGTAGTTTGTTCAATGTGGATTTAGATACCCCAGCGAGCAGGTCATCACAGTAGTAAAAATGAGCAAAATAGGAGTATTGACCAGCTTTTCAGCAACATTTAACAACATAGGATGTAGGATAAAAATGACATACTAGCAGAAATACACTGGTCCCGCTCATATTACTTCTGTTAAAGTCATGTCCTTTTCTTATAATATGAATTCTTTCTGGAAGACACAGCTTCTCAAAAACAAATGTGTAATACTGACCAAATGGGCTCACTTGGTCTGCAAACTTTTATGAGCAGGCTGCCCCAAGACCACACAGTACTAAGAAACCTACCTCTGAATACTGTACATTCAGGCTCTCCAGAAGAGGGCAGCCTGCACCAAGGTTCTGAAAAGCCTCCCCAGACATTCCTGCACAGTATGTCAGCTTCAGTGAGGTAAGAAGCGAGCAGAACTGAGAAATTACCTAAAAAATAAACAAAACAAGCTTTGAAGCGTAATGTGTAGCTTTTTATTAATCTACAAACTACAGGTACAACCCGACGTACATAAATACATTTACATAAAAAGGTAGGTGCAATCTCTGTCTAGTTGTGCACTGCCTCATGAGCATATGTAGCAGGACAGCTGGGTTTCAAGCTCACAGACGTTTCTTACCCTTAATAATTACCAGAGAGAACTACCTCCCCTCTAATTACAGAAGAAGAGGAGGAAAGAAGTGTGCGTGGGTGGAAAGGGGAAAGGTTAAAGGTCAGTCCCAGCAGTCCATCACCGGGGGGCAGAACACTCCAGTTCTGTACAGTATACTGTATTATAATACTTTAATTTTGCATAATAATGATAATGGTAACAGGTGTAAGTGCATATGTACCGTGTAAGATGTTTTGACTTGTGTAAATTTCAGATTAAGTAAGACTGTGGGGAATTAATCCTTATATAACTCAGGAAGTACCTGTGCTACTGTACCACACACTCTACATCCATAAACAGCTCTCAATCAATTACAATATTTTTACTTTTCTGAAATGTCCACAGGTCTAAGGTAAAAATTAATTAAATGCAAGGATCCTCATTTATCGCTACACATCATGTGCGCTTCCATGAGAAAGACTGTGGACAAAGGAAAAAGAGCGAAGAACGTTTCAGCCAATGACCACATCAAACAGGTCCCCCCAGGGCATCCTAAAGAAGATGGTAATAATTTATTCTGCACATCTTGCAGTGTTACTCTGGAACCATTCAAATGCTGCAGTGTGTCAGAATAACATTTAACAGAAGGCGACAGCAGACAGTCTATCCAAAAGACGATCAACTGAAAGCTGGTTTTCTAGAAAAGAAGTAACATTTGAATTAGTGGAGGCTTTCACTACAGCCACATGCCACTAGAGAAGACCAACAACCCAAAACTATGGGAAAACTTGCAAATAATGTAGGTAGCTTCTCAAGTTCAAACAAATTTTACAAGGATCATCTAACTGATGTAATTGCTTTGTACATCCAGCCTGTTAACACAGCACATACAGAATTCAATTCTGCACCAATTGTTGTCAAAAAGACGAAGGATACACAACACAAATAAATTCTATAATCTACACATTATTCTACAAATTATTTGTTGGGAAGACAATGATCTATTTTTTTTAACATAATCCGTACAGGTGGAGTCTTGCTTTTTCAAACCTATAGGACAGGCCGTAGTGAAGGCTGTTGTTAACTAAGGAGCAGAATGTAACAATGCAGTTATCTTGAATAATGACATTTATATTGCTATACCAATGCTGAAGTATATTCACTACTCCCCGCAAATTGAAATTAGTAAGGTACACATTATTTTTTTGAAGCTGCATGACATCCTGAGACAGGAGAACAGAACAGAACAAAATCAAAACTTTTGATTTTGCTGGAAAGCAGGAACTTTTAAATGCACTAGAGATACCCATCTGATAAGCTGGGTGGAAGGCGTGAAACCGCAGATGCTTTCCGATAATGTAGCTGAAGACCGCAGCGGACAAGAAACACTCCTGTCCATAGCCCACAAGCGTACTTTGCACTACAATGGTAATCACAGCCTGCTGCCTACTTTTTAAGTGCTGTGTGCCTTTTAAACACCAGTGAAGCTGCACTTACTTCTCTTAAACAAGCATATATTACAGGCATACTTCAGCCTTGCAATGGAAAGCCAAAAGACTGCGGATCTAAATTTTCAGATGTCATTTCAGAGAATTTTCCTCATCTTGCAAAACGCTTCCCAACATTTCCTGTGAATTCAGTGGATGCAGAGCATGCAATCCCGCTGTATTGCCAAATATTCACCTTTAAAGACAAAGGATATCAGTTGCTGAAATGAGTGGGTACTGAATAGTCGATACTAATAATATGCAAATGCATAATATTAAATGCATAATAAAACATATGAAGTATGTTTACTCTAGTTAATATTACTTGGCCCACAAAATACCTATACGTTTGTGCTGCAATTAACCCTCTGAAAAATTACATTTCCTCACAATTTAAGGAGGCCCCCAGTGATAACCAAACATTTATTCTGCACACCCCTTAGTAAATATCCACATTTCATCGGGTTTTACCATAAACATTAACAAACGCTAAGGTAGCTCGTGCAGGGCCCACAGAGCAGTTTTACCAGTAAAGGCGCCTGCCTGAAGGGCGGTCGAACTCTATGGTTCAAGCAGCGCAGGTGTGATCCTGGATGACTCCTCGAGCCTACGTGTGACCTTCTTTCCAAAAGGCAGTGGCACACATCCGGCTGATGGTCATCGAGGGGATGGTGGGAGTAAGGAGCCCAGAGAGGCCTTGTGGCCTCCTGGGTGCTTACAGGCATACAGAGCTGTTGGTGAGGGATGCGCCTCTCCTCCAATCGGTGCTGAACCTCCAATGTGAGGCACTGTTGCCTTTGGGGTGGTAAAAGATGAGTGGCTCGAAGGGGACCTGGTTAGAGGAGTCTGCCTACACTTCCACATTCACGCCTGCGTGCAGCTGCAGGCGTGACAAACCTGGCGGTTACAAACTGGGTGGTTATATAAGAAAAATAACTGTCAATTGCAAATTTAAAAATGCTCATATTGTCCGTTTTCACAAATGTGGAGGAACAGTATTAACAGATCACAGTTCCAGCTATATTTTGTCATTTTAATGAAGCTATAAATATCACCACGTCCCTGCCTCGTTTCTCAGGGTGTTAGGAACATCAAAAGGATTTAATTCAGAATTACCTCTACAACATAGTTCACATGATGCTTCCAATGGCAAATAGATAACTCTCTGAGTTGAGAAAACCTTAAGAAACAAAAAAGTCATTAGGAAAGTATATGGTCAGGACTTGGATTTGACTAAACTTTTTTTTTTCTAAACAAGGCTTAAAAAACATGATAATATCACTTTTACACAATTGTTTTTTCACCATTTCCTTTTTTACAAAATCAAGACGGTCCTCATAAGATAAAGAGGGAGATTTTCCAAAAACTCTTACTAACATCTAATCGAGCAAGCAGTAGTTTTTGACCCTGACAGAAAGTCTGCTGTCAGATCACATCCCACAATCAAGCGCTGGCCAACAGATCATCCAAAATCATGCAAATAAATTGCATGAACTTGCATTTCCTTGTGAATATTAATAGAGGAAAAAAATAAAGAGGGGTTAAAATCGTCACCCATGTCTTTTAGAGGTTAATGACTTCAACACAGGAGGCGACCAGTAAATTCAGAATATGAGGAAGTTTAAATTGGACCCACAGTACCAACCTGTTCTCAGCTAGCCATCTTACAGTGTTCTTGATCCTCAGTTCCGTTTTCGGTAACTGTGTTTTACCAGGTTCAATCCAGCAATGGCTGATTGTCGCGCTCTGCCACAGGAATGGGGTAGCAGCTGCAGAGTTCCACAGCTGACACACTTGGGACACCCTTCATGATAGTACAAATGTGAGAGGACACAACATAACCAGCACTGAACACACCACGTGAAATACACATGTCACTGCAAAGGATGCAGAATGCAATGCAATGATACATTTTCACCAAACCAATTTTTTTATTTTACATTATGCAAGAATATTGTTTTTTTTATCGTGACAGAATACATAGGTAAGGTAACAAACGAGGATGACACAGTGAGCACTGCTGCCTCGCAGTGCTGGGTCCTTGGGTTCAATTCCGGACCTGGGCTGCCGTCTATGCAGAACTTTCTCCCCGTATTCACATGGGTTTCCTTCCACAGTCTAAAGACATACTGGATTGGTTAACTGGCTTCTGAGAAAACTGGCCCCTGTGCGAGTGTGTGCATGACCATGTGTGCCCTGTGATGGACTGGGACTATAATGCCTTGTGCCTGTTGCATCATGGGATAGGCTCTGTTTCCTCCGCACCGCTGAATTTGAAGAAGCAACTACAAAATGGATGGATGGATGGATGGAAACCAACAAGAAGACATTCCGTTTATGAAATGCATTTGCTTCCTAGTAGGCAATAGATCCAGAGACTCAATGCAGTCATTTCTTGCAAGAAGCCAAGACCATGGCTGGGACTCCCTTTGTGGAAAGTGGTGCCTCCTACTGGCAGTTTGAACTGCATTTCAGCCTGTGTCCTTTGGTTTAAGTTTCACTGTTCCCCTAGGTTTACTTTCATCAACACTTTTGAGGATTTTGAATTCTTTAATCTGGTCCCCTTTGTAAGCTTTCCTCGAGTTCAACACTTTCCACTTTCAGCTTTCCTCGAGATTCAGCTTCAGTCAGTGCAGCACATTCTTTTGAAGCTTGAGGAGCACCTGGCCAGGAAGACTGATTCCAGACCAGAAATAAATTTTTCTTTCATCCTATATTAGGTCTAACTGGTATGTTTCACAATTGTTACTTCTCTGAATTCAAATGTTACGCTTTAAACTATACGTCTTCCTTTTTATTGCCTTGACAACCTGTCTATAAATTACAATTATTTTTGAATGGACACCTAAGTCTCTTTCAGATGTACTTTGCTAAAAATCTGTCTCCTATTTTATACACACAGCTCAGGCTTAATTCCTGCCAGAACTCTGCTTTCAGTTCATCTCCAGTGCCAACTGCTCATGGCATTTGAAGTTGCTTCTAAACCACACCTATTGATAATAATGAACAACAGCAAGTACTTTCATTCTATAATGCAAAAGTACAATAACAAAAAACCCTTTCTTATCCATAAGTGTGATCTATTTGCCCACCAAATGACTTATCAAACTGCATGTTTGAGGTAAAGGGATGCGGTTTCATTTAAAGGAACACAGAAACTAAACCAGTGACAAAGCTCAACTACTCAGGGGTGTTAAATAAATTTGGTCTCACAATTTTTAATTCTTTTGTAAAGAAAGATAGAATCTCAGTACATAAATGTTCTAGGTATTTACAGAGAATTTAAACACACATACAGTATATATAGATAGATAGAGAAGTTCAGGTGAAGACCATTTCAACTGCTGAATACTTTTCGTTTTGAGTAAAAGAAAAGAAACTGACCTGCAGAGAAAAGGTATGGCTCCGTTCTGATTGACCACCAGCCGAAATATTTTCACCAGGATTTCCACCGGCATGGTCTGACCCCATCTGTCATAGTGCTCACTAGCCCCCCCTGAGCCGCAGGCAGCAGGCTTATTAACCTCCTCTTGAAGAGGGGGCTTGCAACCTGTTTTGCTCGTCGATTTCTGCGCTTTCCTCTGACCGCCAGAGACCTTGCTCTTGCCTCTCTTGGTGACCTTCTTCTTCTTTTTTGCAGCCCTCTTCGCCGGCACCCACTTACTATCATACTGGTTCACGTTGGAGATAATGAGCAGCATGTCGTCACCTTCTTGAACTGTGTAGCCCACCCTAGGGGTCCTTCGCAAATGCTTCTTCCTCTTTGCATCCGGCTTCGCGTTAGACTTTCTTTTCATGCTCTTCCTTGTCGCTTCTCCAAAATCCGGAATGGCTTTCCGAGATGTCCCTGGCCCAGGAGAGCTCGCTTTCGACGCGTCATTTTCTGCAGGGGCAGCAGGATCTCGAAGAGCATCTGAGGAGGGGACAGCATCTCGCGGTCTAGGTTCCTGCATTTCTTCTGTGTTGGCCAGGAGTTGGCAAGAATCGTTCATTTCTGTGAAGCGCGGACAACATATTACTAAATGAAGTGCGCATTCCCCCTTCCGGTTTATCTTCAATTATTCCTCTTAGCAGTTTCAATTCAATAATTTGAGTTTAGGACGGCAATGGAGAGACAGTAAAAAGTTTTTTTTTTCTATCTGGGGTGTTAAGGCTGACAGTTTCACGCCTATAGATACTGTAGAGCCTATATACAGTTACGTTTCAGTAGCCAATACATTTGACTCGTCTGCAAATCTCAAATGAGAAACACAACATCGATCAAATTCAGTCATCTGTCAAATTCCGGTATTTAAAATACAGGCTTTGTTTTGTTATAAGATCACAGTTAGATCACAGTAATATAAAGCTTATATCTTTGTTTACAACATTTAAATCGATACATAAAACTTCAGTTAAAAACACAGTAAAAAAATAAGTGTGTGATGCATTACCTTCCCTTGCTGATTCCATGTGATCATTTCAAGTATGCGATTCACCAGAGTTGTCATTTTTACATTCATTCGCTTGTTCGAGGGAATCGCACTATATACGTTTTTAAACTGTACACAGCAACATCTCTATCCAGGAACCCTTCAACAAAGGAAAACCGTTTGCGGTGTTACTACTCCGTTCACCTTTCCTCCGCGTCACTGGACTGGACTGAACAGCGAGCCTCGCTCATTGGCCCAGGACACAGGAAGCATTGAGGACCATAGATAGTCCATCATTCCTAGAGTTCATTTTCTTCTTTTGTGTGGTGTTGGTGTTGTTATTGCTAGGACATCTTCATAATTACAAGACCACGGACCACCTGTAACGTGTTTGTATCTGAATCATGTTTTTATTTTACTATATATATAATTTTATAATCGATGTAACTATGCAGCTCTTTTGCCAAATATGTTGCATTTTATTTCTACCAGTTAACTGAATTTGTAGCGTCCTAGTTGGATTTCTGACATAAGGTGATAATGATGATATTTGTAGCAGTGCCTAATAACGTATTTATACAGTATTGCACACTACTTGAATTGTATTTACATATAACATATTACACTTGACCTTTATCCAAAGTAATTGACACTCTAAACATTTACACAAATACAAAATGTGATACAATATTAATTATGGTAATGTTAATTATGCGGCTGTATTATTATTATTATTATTATTGATTTTAAACATCACTCTTGTACAGAACAGCTTTTTCAATGAAAAAAGTGTTGTCACCGCACGAAGATGGCGGCACTTCATCACGCCTGCAGGAGACCTATGACCTATCTAGGAAGGCATGATGGGATTTCTACGGTGCGGTCTCTGTAGTAGAGCGAGCTCCCAGTGTGGAAGGAAGTAGGTTTCGACGGGAACGAGAGTGGTCTTGCGGGGTGCACTGAAGATTTTAGAGGACACAACGCGGTAAGCAAATGATAATTAAAAACCAGATTGCATGCTCACTCTTTTTTCAGAAACGCTATACGTGTTCTGATGTAACGCCGAATCCATCATGATGAAATCAAAAGGTTCCTTTTATAAGTGCACTTAGCCTAAACTGCTGAGATTTCTTTTGTGAAGTTTATTTTTATCAGATCTAAATCGAGTTTATAAAGTGATTGTTATATTGCATTTCAACGTAAAAAAGCAAAGAGCTTTTCTTGCACTAGGGCTCTTTGAAAAATAAGTCTTAGTAGCGCTTTTGCTATTGTTATTGTTACTGTGCTGTGGATTTGGAAAGCGTGGGGCAGTGGGTGAAACACCGCCTTTTCTTTCATGGCAAGGTGAGATGCTTGATGTAGTGGTCTTTCCAAGTCCGTTAGCTAAATGGTAATTCTTGTAACGAGATCTGAACTAAATTGTAACATTCGGTGATGTTCGAATTAAGTTTTGGAGTGCATAAAACCATTTGTACAGTTTTAGTGTGCATGACGCTACTTCGTGAGTGGTCCGTTTGTATGCATACACATCTGAGAGCCCAGTAGTTTTTTAGTAAGGGCACCCTTCTGTTAAAACCAACCTCCTAAGAAATAGTTTCGCATGTTTCCAATTTTACTTTGAGGACGCAAAGTGAAAAGGTAAAACGTAGGTATAGCCTTATAGTCAATTTACGGGGGTTCATTAGCATATGAATAAAATACTTTAAATCTTGTGAAAGAGAAATTGGTCACGACCCACCCCCGATGTTTTTCTACAAACACTATAACAGATCCTGTAAAAATGCAATCTATGACGACTTTTGAACCGATACATTGGCAAAATAAGTAGTACAGGTATTAACAAAAATACGTTTTTTTCGATATGGTTTTGTACCCAGTATATTATCGCTTATTTGTTACGCTCTCGTATAGTTTTTCAAGCTTTAGTGTAGTCCTCACACACTCCATTTCCAGTACTATTGTTCATCCGTTTATTATAAACATCCTAAACTGTAGTTAAATATCAGGTCAGATGGAAAAATAATTTGAAATGTTTACGTTTTACAAACGTTCCCCACCTAAAATACCTTTTTAAAAATAATCCTTTTAAAGGGCTTGTCAGCAACATATCTTTTGTACGTTTTTCATTGATCAATTATCATTTTTTAATTCTGATATAGTTGCCTTTCAATCCAGAGTATTCTCAAGGCATAGATCTAAACTACATGTACATAATAAACACAGAATAGTATTGGAAGAAACCGCAGTCAGTAAAAACAGGTTTATAAAATGATCTTATTGGGTTTTGCAAATGAGAATTTGGCAATCCATTACTCATAAAGTAATTTGCTCTGAGTGGGAATTTCAAGAAACGTTTGACAGTGGAGTTTTTAATATATTTAAGATAAAATTTAAGAGGTGTTTCTTTTAGATCACTTGTGAGTTTAACTGTATATTTAAAAAGAGATGGGCAGGTGCCAAAATAATTACACGGAATTCAGTGCTCAACCAGTCATTAAATTAGGCATGTGCTTTTCTAATGGAATAAGCAACTTTCAGGAGACTGTTCACTGGACTGTTGATTATTTTGGGAATGCTTTTTTCCCATATTTGTCATATTTAATTTTCATTTCATTCATATTTCTTCCTTGTGTTGTTGTAGTTCATGATTCCAGATTCATAGGAGCATTTTTATGGAGGTTTCACTTTACCAAATTGAAATATATCCTGATATAAAGATCGCTGATAATTAGCAGAAACATACCCCATTCCAATTTCCTTGCAATTATTGCTAATACAATTATTAACCTTTGTTTGGAAGCTGGTGTTTATTTCCAAGGAGTTAAAATATCTCCTCCTCGCTACACGTCCTATGAAGTGTGCAGAAAATGATGGATTGTGAACAAGCCTCCAGTTTCACAACAGATGCATCCCGGAATGTGTTCGACATCGCTGACGATTTGAGTAAGTACAAATTGACTGCTCTTTTTTTTCATTTAAAGCCTGTGGTGCCTAATTCAATCTGAAAAACAATAGCTTCATAGGTGTTCAAAAAGAAAGTTCAAGATCTCGTAAAAGGGGCTGACTTGAGATCTGATTTTCAAAACTGACAGCAGTGACAGCCGCCTGTTGCTCTAGTACTTAGCAAATCACATCAATGGGGCTTTTCCAGGCCCACTGAATTTTGAACCCTTTTTACAGTGTGGAAGACACTTTATTCCTTTGCTTTTCTTTCCCTGGATAGCTCTATTAAGTCCAGAAGCCCATGTGACATGTTGTTTTTTTTTTGGGAGCCTCTAATGTTTATTTTTGAAGTACGGCCATCTTTCTTCTGTTGTCTCTGTATGTCTCATTCCAGTTCACTGCATGCACACTCTTCCTCATTCCTTCACAGTCCACTTTTCTAAAATTATTAATTCTAGTTTTAGACTCTTTTTTTGTAGATTTAAAATAGTCATTAAAAATACCATGTTATGCTCACAATTTCCCAGAGAAAATCCCTGCATCAATTTTATACTGGTTGTTTGAAGGATTAGGTCAATGAGACTATTTTTCTTAATTTCAGTTTTTACAAACTGAATGAAGAAGCAGTCGCTAGCCATTTGAACCATATACGTTTCAGCATTGTTCAGAGTCATCTAGCTTTCTCTTCTGTACATCAGCTCATTTAGAGCAGAGGTTTATTGCATACTTGGGCATAGATATTGAAGTTTGGGTTACACAAGGCCACTTCTACTTCTAAGGTCAGTTTCTACTTGTGTCCTTGAGTCTCTGGGTGCAAGTTGACTAATCTGAGTTCAGATGGTTGCTTTTCTGTTCTAATCTAACTTTATCTTTACTTATCTTTATTTCTGTTGTTTAAAGGGCACAGTTTTATGTGATGTTTTGAAGGCCTTGCATCTTGTATGCTTTTGTGTTGTTTTAAGACATTCAGGTGGTTAAACAAATGTCTTGGTTTGTATTAAAGGAGTGAATTCACATTTAGTTAAGTAACTGGTGAACACATATCTGACAGCCACAAAACAACAATGATCAAACATAATGTGCATTGTTCATTACATTGAGTTTGGCAATGCAAATAGGATTTATTGATCCCGTAGGAAAACATTAAGTACCCTATTAAAGTGACAGTTTCATATAGTGTGTAGAACATCGATTAAATACTGTACATTAAATACATGTTTTTTTTCTTGTATTAGATTTAAGTAGGATATAGCAGTTTTGAACAGGTAGTCCTGAATTCTGTCTGATTCTTAAGAATCTAAAAGAAAAGTAGCCAAAGCAGTTTTTGAAATTACCTTTGTGGTGGTATAAGACATTCTAATGTTCAATACAGAGAAACTGTTTTAATATCCCTATATCATGAGATTTCTGGTAACAGTCGTGGCAACATGGAGATTATTGATTTGCAAATATCTGGAAAAGCAGCAGCCTGAAGTTTGTGAAACTTGGCACACTGAGTTAAACATCTGTAAATTAGTATTATATTTCTAATATTAATACTGGTTTTAAGAAATGTACTATATTTTTGTGGCATTTGAAATGAGCACCATTAGTGCTTTTAAATCAAAGTTTTTCTTCACTTATTTTTTTTGTTTCTTCCCTTTAGGAGATGAAACCTTTTTTAAACTTGTGGAGAATTTTATTGGATCGCAGTCTGGAAAGAGGCCAGATATTAGTAGGATTCCATGTAACAACAGATTTTTAGTTCAAGTAGGACTTATAAGGGAGGAAAACCAAGCATCATGGAGCAACGTGGTGAAGTGGCTTGAAAGATTATTCCCAAGATATAAATCGATAGACTTTCAGAATCTCATCGAGAGTGCCATCGCAACAGTGTTGCGATTGAGTGGGAAACAGAAAAGAGCCTTCCTTGAAGAGAATGTCGATTTTGAATTTGTTGGCCCAATATGTGACAGACTTGGAATTCGAAGAACAGATTTGCTGGAACTGTCTGACTTCTCTGATCGAGTCAAATTTGTTAGACTCACAAATGGTCTCGTGTTGGAGCTTCAGAATTTTATCGCTCAGCAAAAGATTGACCCATCAGTTCTGGTGTGTTGGTTAAGGAATTTCTGCCCACAGTTCTGCGGTGATGGGAATGTAGTGAAAGCTAGCAGATTCCTTGAAAATAAACTGGAAAAACTTAAGATTGAAGGCCAAATTCAGCAAAAACGTAGATATAGGGGAAATAAGTTTTTTAAAATGGAGTTTGAACTGTTCCCAAATCTACACGGAGCAGAAGAACAAATCATGAGGTCAAGTTACAAGAAACTGCTGCCTAAAATACAGATCAAAAAAGAAACTGAAGGCTTGAGAAATCAGGACAGCATTCAAGGCCTGCAAGAGGCAGACGGGGAATATTTCTTACAAAATAGAGGAGAAACAGAAAGGGTATTCCCAAAGAAGGAAGAGAATCCTACATGGACACTTCATGCAATAACTGAGAATACTGCTGTCCTCAGTCAGTGCTTAACATACGAGCAAACTAACCAGGAAGGATTCCAGGATCAGTCTTCCACTGGTAAATACTGCCATTTAATGGAAAGGAAACCACTGACCATGGACTTGGAAGGGAGTCTTAATGCTGTAGAGGTGGAGGTTTTGACTCTGCTGGATGTTTCAGTGCTTGCTTTTCAGAAGTTGTTGGAAGTTTATGGAACCAAAACAGAGCAGTGCAATCAAGCTTTTGGAGAGCTATTGAAAGAGCATTTTGCTCTGATGTCGGAGGAAGACAGCGTTATGAAAGCGTTCGGTGAGAGAATTAATCTGTGTCGGCAAGAATATTTTGCAGTTCCTTCACTCTTGCATTTTTTAAGGTGCAATACTTATTTTCTGCATGATCTAAGTGACGCAACCGAAAAGCAGATAATGTGTTTTGAGAGAGAAATCACCAGTGTTGCTGGGGGGAAGCTGGGTCGTGATAAAAATCCAAAGTTTGCAAACTTTGTGAACTTTACAGAGAGTTCATCTTCACGCTATATCCACATGGCTTGTGATGTTTTG